TTGATCAGTTGAAAGAGGAGTTTCCACTAATCAAGGCCAGAATAGATGGACTCTAATTCAATGGGAGAAGAATGTAGAACAGAACCTCAAATTGCTACAATATGAAACAAAAACAAACCAGACCTACTAGACTATTTGAGACTGGAGGACTCCCTGAGACTACTGTCCCCAGATACTCTCCAAACCTTGAACTGAAACTAACTGCTGAAGTCACCTTGTAGCTAAATAGCAAATTGGCTCAGAAAACAATGAGTATCTCCCCTAAGAACTGTGCTCCTCTAAAAAGTCACCAATCTGAACCCAAGGGCCAACAATTGCTTTAAAACAAAGGTGAGAATGGAAGGGGTCAGGGAAACTAAATTAATGGGAACAGACCAACCAGAAGAGGAACAATGAGAATGTTCACACACTGTGAAGAATGTAACCAATGTCATTGAACAACAACTTGTGTGAAAAATGGTTGAGGGGAAACCTAAACTGCTGTGTAAACCTTCACCAAAAGCACAATAAAATATTACTGAAAAAGAAAGGGAGACTTCCACAGATTGAGATCTGCCCCCGGACTAGACTATCAATAGACTTTCTGGTGGCATCACTCACTCTCTGTTTCTCCACTCTCTGCTTGCTCTTTCTATCTCCTGACCTACAGATGTTGGGGGAAAAGCCTGCAGAAGTCTCCAGGCTGCCGACTGACCTACAGATCTTAGATTTACCAGGCCCCCTACAATCCTGTGAGCCATCGAGGGTGTCCAGCCTGTCACCTCACCTACAGATGGTGGTCTTGCCAGCTCCTACAATGGCGTGAGCCATTCCATGAAGTAAATTTGTCTCTATAGATACATTTATCTCCCTGGTACTGCTTCCCCAGAAAACCCTGACTAAAACTCTCCTCTTTCTTCAAAAAAAATCCAAACTCACAACCATCGAGTCAATTTTGACTCACAGCAGCCCCCTTTGGGTTTCCAAGGCTGTAAAACTTTACCGAAGTAGATTGCCTCATCGTCCTCCCATGGAGCAGCTGGTGGGTTTGAACAGCTGACCTTCTAGGTTAGCAGCCAAATGCCTTAACCACTACATCACCAAAGCTTACTCACCCCAAAATAAAATGCATTCCAGGTAATTCTAGTACCTTCCCTCTGGTTATGAGTCAGATCTCTATGGATGTCACTGGATTCAAACTTGGACAGAATTAAAATCCATGAACCTGGAAGGAAAGGGAGCTAGAGGGGCCACCAGGAAGGGAGCCAGCTGCTTGGTGCTGAAGAAAGCCCAGCCCACAGAGCTCTCTCTTTCCCATCCACAAGGGGGGCTGGCCCTGGCGAGGCCACTTTCCATGCTTGTCTTGCCTCAGAGAAGTCCAAGGAAGGGAGGGCAGTCAGATTCCACTTTGCCTCACAGCTCACAGAGGGAAACTTGATGCCCACAACTTTCAGCCCAGTGGGTCTCAAAGGACCAGCAGCATCAGAGTCTGCTGGGACCCTGTTAAATGCACATTTCCAAGCATAGCCCAGACCTG